ACTTTTAAACTGTAGATTTTTCTAAGGGTCCCCAAATTTTGTGTCCCCCCCTTTCCACTGTGTCCCCCCAGTTTCCCCCTCCACTGTGTGTCCTCCCTCCTCCTTTAGGGTTTATTTAAATAAAAACTTGGGTTTTTGCTTTTTTTAACCCCAAATTTAAGTCCTTTGGGGGAGTGAGGGGGGACCCCAGAACCCACTCATGCCAAAGTCAAGGGAGGTTACATTGGGACTGTGGGGATTTAAACTGGGGAGGGGGACAGAGGTGTCCCCTCCTTATAGCTAGGGGGAGCCCCCTCTTATTCTGGGGGGGTCCTCCCAGTTGGGGAGGGGTCCTCAAGTAGCCTCTTTGTCCCTGGAGGAGTCTCTAAGTAAGAAGGGACCCCAGGTGCCTCCTCCCCCCCACCCCATACCCCAGGGGTGCCCCCTCACCTCAGGGGGCTTCCCAAGGTTCCCCTCTCCCCCCAAGTCCCCTTTACAGCCCCCCACCCAAATTCATGATCCCCCCCCAAAATTTCCATAACTTTATTTTGCAAAAATAGAAAAGTCCCGTGTCCCCCCTGAGCGCGGGAGGGGGTGGGTGGGCTGTAAACATGGCAGGGGGACCCCCCAAAAAGGGGGGAATTAGCAGGGTGCAGCAGCGGGGGGGCCCTGTTCTGAGGGGGCCCGATGTAAACGCAGAGGAATAAATAGGGGTGAAAGTGCAGCCCCCGGGGGGGACCTTCTGTGTAGTGTAACAGGCTCCCCCTGAGGGCTCTGCACCCCCACATTCAGGGGGGCAGTTGTAGAGGGGCCAGTAAGGCCGGACCCTACAATCCAGCCAGGCTGGGGGTAACAGAGATTTGGGAGGGCAGTTGGGTCTGGGGGGACCCCCAGGATTTTGGGGTCACCCTATGGCTTGAGCCCGCCCCAAAATTGGGGGGGGGGTTGTGGGGGTCACCTTGTGTCCCCCATCTTTGGTCTCTGTAGTGTTTGGGGGGGGGCACCAGGGGAGGGCAGTTTTGGGGTTTTCCACCTCACCCCAACAGCATCAAAAAGCAAAACCCACAAGCCGCCCCCCACCAATATAAACATTTCCCCCCAGATTTGGGGGGCAGGATGTTCTGGGGGAGAAGGGGGGTGTGTACCCCCTCACAAATCCACCCTGTGTCCAATAAATAAACCATGGGGGGGCACCGCAGGAGTGTCAGGCATTAATTTGGTGGGGAGGTGCTGGGCCCCAACTCTCCCCCCCCTCACAGCCCCCCCAGTACAAGGGGAGGTGGCAGCAGGGTCTGAGGGGGCTTTGGCGTGAAGCTGAGGTTCGAGGGGTGCCCCCAGACGCCCCCAGCTTAAGGCAATAGCTTTGCTCTGTCAGTCTCTGCCCCCTTCCCCAAATTCAGGGGGGGGCACTATGGGGAGCTCCCCCTCCCCAGAGCAAAAGGGAGGAGGAAGGCAGCTTCCCTGGAAGGCAGCTCTGAATGTCCCACCCCACTGGGGACGGGTTTTGGAGATCCCCCCCCGAGCTGGGGGGGGCTATGGGGATGTGGGGGGGCCAGGGGGACTGTCCTGGGCGGCAGGAGGGTCTGGGGGTGGAGGGGGTGCATCTCCCCCCACTTCGGTGAAGATTTCGGGGTTCTCCAGCATTTCCCGGATCAGGGGGGGCATCGGCCCCGGGATCTCCGTGCGCAGGGTGATGGCTCGTTCTGCCCCTGGGGAAGCCAAAATGTCAACACCCCTGAAGGCCTTGGGCCCCTCCTGAGAGATGGAACCCCCTTCCAAAAAATGAGCTTCAGCACCCTCTCAAATTTCAACTCCTGCCCAAAACTCTGAACCCTCAAAAGCTTGGACCCCTCCAAGACCTCGAACACCTCCAAAATGAGCTTCAATTGCTGCAAAGCCTTGACAAGCTGCACAAGAGATTGAATCTCCCTGAGGCTTTGAATCCCACCCAAAAATGAACTTCAACGCCCTCCCAAATGTCAACAGTCCCCAACTTTCAAAACCCCGCAAAAGATTCAACGCCTTCAAAACCTTGAACCTCCCCAGATACCCTGAACACCCCCAAAATGAGCTTCAAACGCCCCCCACCCCCAAAACCTTGAAACATCCCCAGGACCTTCAACTGTGCCTCCCTGAGAGCTTCAAATCCTGTGGTGCCAGGGGCAGGGTTGGGGGTGTCCTAATGGGTTTTGGGGTCCTGGANATGGTGGTGATCGAGCAAAACGGCTCCTTCCAGCTCAAGAACTTCATCTGCGACCACTGTTTCGGCGCCTTCCGGAGCAGCTACCACCTCAAACGGCACATCCTCATCCACACCGGTAATGAGCCCTCGTTAATGAGCGGCCCCCCCACCCCTTCCCTCCACCGCTAATGAACTCTCGTTAATGAGCAGTCCCCCCGGCCCTTCCCTCGCTAATTCCCGGCCGGAATTGCAGGGGAGAAGCCGTTCGAGTGTGACATGTGCGACATGCGCTTCATCCAGAAGTACCACCTGGAGCGGCACAAGCGCGTGCACAGCGGGGAGAAGCCGTACCAGTGCGAGCGCTGCATGCAGGTATTGCCGGAGAATTCCCGTGGGAACGGGCGGGGCATCCCCAGCGCCACCGCCTGACCTGAGCCTGCCTTGTCCCCGCAGAGCTTCTCCCGCACGGACCGGCTGCTCCGACACAAGCGCATGTGCCAAGGCTGCCAGACCAAGACCCCGCCCGACTCGCAGCTCCTGCTGTGAAAATCTGGGAATGCCGGGAAATTCAGGGGGTGCGGGAGGGGGGTGTTTCTTCCTGCACCCCCCCACATCACCATGCTCTGCCTCACCTGGATTTCTCACCCCTCTAAGGATGGGGAAGAATGCAAGCGCTGCCAGCATGAAAAAACTTGGATCGTTCCTGCCCTCCGGCCTAAAAACTTGGATTATGATCCCAAAAATCCTCCTGGAATCTTCAAGTGGCCCCCCCGGCCATCGTTATAGCCCTGAATCCACCCCTCCCCCTCTTAGGAAAGACTGGGAACCCCCAAACTGCCTGAAATCCTGGGATGCCTGTGCACAGGTAGGAGGGTCCCACTGGGAACAGCAGCATCAATCCCTCTCTTCTTTGGGTAAAGGAGGAAAACTGAACATGTTGGGGGGGGGCTCAGCTTGGGGGGGGTGCACCCCCTTTTTTTTTTGGAAAATAGGAAAAACAAAGGAATTGGGCCCCCCCCACCTTGAGCAGCGCATCCTGTGGGACACTCAGCAGCACTTCCCATTTCCTCTGGAACTCCTTCACATTTTGGGGGGGCTTCCCCTACTTCCACATAGTTTTGGGGTGCTGCCTATGTCCCCCCATGCTGGGAGGTCTGCGCCCTAGGTGAGGGCGAGGAAGGGGGGGCAAGGGGACCCCATTTCTGGGGAAACCCTGCTCCAAGGGAAAGGAAAAGCCCCGGATCAGGGGCAGGGTGAGGGGGGCAGGAGCAGCCCCCAAAGACCACGAGGTGGGCCCTGCTCTTCCCCCCATTTTGGGGGGGTCCCTGTCCCCCCATCACAGACTGCTCCAAGGGGCAAGAGAGATGAGTTTGCCCCCCCCCATTTTCATGCCCTGAACCCCCTGGGCCTGCAGGAGTTTTGGGAGGGGCCCAAACTTTGGGGACCTCCCCCCATGACACTTCAAGAAGGACTTTGGCTCTGCTGAGCCCATTCCCCCAAATTTGTGGGGCCCAGGGGGGGCAGTTTGGGGGCTCTGGCAGGGTTGGGGTGCTGGGGGAGGTTGGGGGATTCTGCTGGGAGAGGTGAGGGGGGGGACAGGGATGACTCCAGGGCCCCCCACCAGCGAGGGCTCCCAGCCCCCTCTCATCCCCCAGCTTCATTTTTGGGGTGTTTTGTTGGGATTTAGGGTTTAATACAGTTATTT